GTCCTTCTGACACCTGAAGGTCACTCCACCAGCGTCCCCGACATTCCTCTACCGCTACTGGTTAGTCTTCGTCCAGAGGAGAGAGAAGGCGGATGATCGGGAGGGAAGAGTGGGGGGAGGGTATGGAGAGTGAGTGAGTTGCATGAGTAGAGCGACGTAGTAGTAAGGTCTAAATTACTAGTGTTCTTAATGAGGTACACAGCAGTATGCGTTCACAATCGCTCATTGAGAATTTTCTTCCGTAAACTTCCCAGAAATAATATTGGTGTTTACGTATGACCAAGTTTTTATGAATACCGAAGATTGATTAGCTATTTCCTCAGTAAAGATCCTGTTGGGGTGACAATTAGGCTGTACTTCCCTTACGGAGGTTGTCTGATGTTATTAAATTAATCGAAAAAAAAGAAGGAAAAAGAAGACAAGATAAACAAGGAAAATAAAATAAGAGGAGACAATAACAAAATGAAGATTCATAATATATAAATGAAAAATATATAAAGCATTTGTGGTATTTTTTTATCGTTAATTTTTCTCTTCTCTACACACACACACACACACACACACACACACACTCACACACACTCACACACACACACACACACACACTCATCCTTTTAAAGTGTATTTTTTGCTGGTACTTTAATACACACCCCGAGGTCCTCTACCTACCATGGTCAAAACAGGGGTGTTGCTCACCTGCCAATTCGCCCTGGGTCACAGCTCCTGTACTTAGAGAATTTATTAGCCACGACCACCTATGTCCAACACCTGCAGCGCCTCGGGGCATCCCAAAGGTCAAGGTTCTGTGACAAATGAGTTCACCTTCGCTTCATGAAACAGAGAGAGAGAGAGAGAGATTAATAGATACAAAGAAAGAGGTAGAATTAGGAGATCAATTAATAAAGAGCAATAGAGGGAGGTATGGGAGATGAAAAGATAAAAATTGAAATAAGAGAGAGACAGAGATACGGAGAGAGAGAGTGGAGAGATATAGAATGTTAGGTAGAGAACTAGTAGAAAGATTGGAAGAGAGAGAGAGAGAGACGTATCCAGAGAAAGAGAGAAGGAAGGAAAGAATGAAGAAAAAAATGAAGAGGTACATAGAAAGAATATGAGGAGATAAAATAGAGAGAGAAAGGGGAAATATAAAGCAAGAGAAAAAATTGCGAGAGCGAGGTAGAGAGAGAGAGAGAGAGAGAGAGAACGAACAACATGACACATAGAGAAAGAGAAAAATAGTTTAGTTCCTGGAGTCGATCTATGTGTATGTAATAATAATAATAATAATAATAATAGTAATAAGCGGTTTACTAATACTGTAGAGTTGCAGCCGGTGCCTGAAAATATACAAACTTACATTTGATTTAGACATAATGATATGCGTTGAATACATTTACAGGGCTGTACGGTACATAAATCCGGAGTGGTTTATTATTTTAACAATAGATGGGATGGTGCTGTTCTTATATCTATCAGTGCTGGCTCTTATGGGCTGAATTTTGTTGCAGTGGCCCATGTTGTTTACATGGGTCTTCCAGTCCAATTTGTGGTCTATGGTAACACCCAGGAGTTTGGCAGACTGCACTTACTGGAGAGGATGGGCACCCACTGTGACTGCTGGAGCTTGCAATGGAGTGGTGGCGGTATTAATGTGCATGACTACGGTTTTGATGTGGTTGATGGTAACTTTGTTCTCCGTAGTCCATGCCTGTGGCCTGTCCAGGCTATATGTGTCTATGTATATGCGTGTGAAGGTCTTTGTGCATGTATACAGTATAAATCTGTCTATGTACGAGTCAGTTTACCATTAACTACAGAAACTCAACAGACACACCAAGAGAGGCGAGAAAAGACCTTGAACTTGACTTTATGGCCCAACAAAATACGCACACACCAAGAACACACTTCAAATAATCGTCATGACATTGCTTACCAGAGAGAAGACTTCCATTAAACTCAACAGGATAAAAAAAAGTATATATATATATATATATATATATATATATATATATATATATATATATATATATATATATATATTTCATTCCCTTAGGACAGATAACCCCTTGATGTTGGCTTCAATCACGCGAACATCTTCAGTACGTGTGTGTGTGTGTGTGTGTGTGTGTGTGTGTGTGTGTGTGTGTGTGTCCAATGGGTAAGTACAGATTTAATTTATGAGGTCAGACAATGAGGGAGAAAGAAAAAATAATCTTCATTGCTGTGGGAAATTGGAAATAGAGACAGACAAACATTCTTCTTCCTTTGTTGATAGAGAGAAAAGTCTGCTCTACACCAAGACCTATAAGACCTATGTATATTCAGTCTTTGGTATGTTTATATTAAGACCCACAACTAAGACACCTTGTTAAAAGGAAACAGTTTTATCCCAAAGTTAACGACAGTGGAAGAGGTTGAAGGTCGTTTGTGGCAATGCAAGAATGCTGAGGTTTCCTGTCTTAGCTGCTGATGCCTTTGTTATAATTTAATGTGACTCATTACATAACTCTCCACTATCGACCTCCCATAACATAAACACATCTGAGAGGAACTAATATATACAACTATGCTTTATAAATCCAATCAAATGATAAATTACTTTCAAGACAGTCAATATGTTACAGATCCAAGAACATCATTTCCTTGACAGTTGTAAAGTGAAGTGAAGATCGACCGGACATATTTTGGTCATTACGTGATTAGAAACAGCCTCAGGTAACTCAGGTGACAGTAATATTCCCACCACCATTCTTAAAATAGTAGATTCTCTGACACCTTGAGAAAATTCATCAATGTACTTCATGAATTAATTAACCCAATATTTTTTCTGTCGTCTCAATGATTTTTAGGGAAACATTTTAGTGTCTTTAATCAAATAAATGTTTGTTATACCCTAAACATAATTATTGATTTATTTGTGTTTACCTTCATTATTGTAACTTATTGTGTCTTATTACCGACGACTTAAACTTACAGCTATAAATTCTTCAGTAATATTGTAAATTTCAGTTTATTGGTATTTAAGATTCACATTGGTCGTAGTGGTAAAGACTGTTATGTGGTTTTTTTTATGTTTAATCGTCCATTTGTCCAAAGTTATACTAAGTAAAGGTAGATGTGTTATTTAGATGAGATAATATGATAAATACGAAGATTATCAGCGTGTGTGTGTGTGTGTGTGTGTGTGTGTGTGTGTGTGTGTGTGTGTGTGTGTGTGTGTGTGTGTGGGTGTGTGTGTTTCCTATCACATAAATTTCCGAACAAAATATTTTTTTATGTTTAACTGTCTTTGTTTTCCTTGTCTTACTCACCATGTTTCTTTGTAATGGATCTAAGCAAACCTGTATAGAAGACATCGTATAATAGGTTAGGTTAGGGTAGTACAATAACATTTAGAGTCTATTTATCACTCAGAGATGACTTAAAACTTTAAAGTATTATGTCAAGTATAACATCACATAGTATAGGCCATGATACTGTGTTTCTTAATTGAAGATAATGTGATATCTTGCCCACTAGTTTAGGTGAATGGTACTGCATATTAATGAGTAGTGTAGTTATTCTTTAGCTCTTCCTCCTTCTCACCTTCTCTTCCTTAAGTATCACTCCTCTACTCCTCACTGCTCTACTTCTCACTTCTGTACTCCTCATTTCTCTTCTCTTCACTCCTCACTCCTCTTCTCCCCACTCCTCTACTCCTCACATCATCCAACATACTTCAAGAAACTGGTAAACAACGTAACATGATTAATCTCATTAGTTATCATGTTCACAATATTCTTAACATATCAGAAAGGTGTTAGCAGGTCACCGTAGAGAGACGTCAAGAAAAATTTAAATATAATACATAATCAGTTTTCAAATATACTGTTCTGCCTTACAGTATATTCCTTCATTAGTTTGTAAATTATATATTCACTGATGTATGTGGTCATGGGTGGTGTTACAACCATGAATGTGGGGAACTTCTTGGTAGCAGTTACTTGGAATATAGTAGTTGCTAAACATAACGGAATATATATAAAAAAAAAAGTGACCAACCTCTCTGCATCATGAAAATACTAACCAATGCGGATCTCCAGTGCAGAGTACTACCCTCCGATTGGTTGACAGGTGTTATGACGTAGCGCTGACGTAATGTTGTGAACTTGGGGAAATCCATTGCCATTATCCCGAATATTTTTGCCAGGGATTTATGCAAAAACATCAAGAACTGTATTTTTATTTCTTATGTATCTATATTGCCTAAAGAAATAGAGGAGATAAGAAGCAAAAAGATCATATATACTGTATATAGACAACCGTAGGGAGAGTGGCACAGCTGCATTACACACAACAAAGGAACCATGACTGGCAGGTGAACAATGACCTGTATCAGGGTCGAGTGATGTTCTGTTGATTCTGCATCAGTTAAAAGTAAATGCGCATGGCTTGTGTTTAATTAATATATAGTTACCCTCTCTCACCCATGTCTCGTTTATCGACTCTCCTTCCATCCACCTCCGTTCAGTGACATTTAGCTGGTGGTGAAAGGGAGCAATACATTAAGACTTTTCACCTTCAATTACTCAAACCAAGAAGAAGAAGAAGATTAAGAAAAAAAAAAGACTGATAAACAATATTACTCTTCCAGGTACGAGGTTTCACGCTGAATTCCCACTCATAGTTTCCAGTTTCTCCAGCTAGAATAACTTTACGCTGAACTAAACTTATGAAAAATCCAGTCAAGTTTCCAGATCTTCATTAATAAACGCGTAACTGTATCTCTGTTACGAGCTTCTTGATGGATTTTTTTTTGTTATTTTCTACAACTATGTGGGGAAGGTTTTGTTGGTATTTGGGTAGATGTAGAGTGAAATTTAAACGATATATTGAAAAGGAGAAAATATAAAGTGATGATGTGTGGCAGCAACGATGTTCCCCCCAGGAGGTAAACATCTTCCTTGGGTTAACGTGTGGTTTTCCATATTTCCACACCACTGTCAGAGGCTAGCTTGGCTGTATATAAGTTGTCGTCTGGGCTCTGTTGGTCACTCAGTACCCAGCAGCTGTCAAGAGAGAGTGAACCAGCAGTCACAACCTGTTAAGATATTTACCAATTTTACTTCTTCTACAGTCAGTCATGATGAGGTGAGTGTGAGTGAAGTACACGAATAGATTAATGATTTTTTTTTTACATAATTCGTTGTTGTTCATATGTGATAAAGTAAGTCATGTAACAGAGGTTTTAACCGTTTCAAAAATCATTTATTTTTTTCTTTCAAGCTGTTGATGTGTCACCGGTTGCTTATGTTCGTTATATTAAAAGCCTTGTTTATGTTTTGGTGATTAAATCTTAATGACTGTTCGTGGATGAATACAGGCTGAGACGTTTTATTCGTTAACTTTTGTCCATAATTTTTATAAGGAATAGTTACAATTTTATAAGGAATAGTTACAATAGATAGTGACAAGGACATTTATTTCTATTATATTTGTTTGTCATTAGAAAAGATTCTTACATTAGACTTATCGATTCTCTTACAGTCACAACACAGCCTTTAACCTGTACGAGAACTAGCACAGTCTTATAGCTCATAGTGTCCTTGTGAAAGAAAATGAACGCCGCTCCCTTACAGCCCATATTATGTGATTTATAACTATTCCTTGATTCCATTCAGGTACGGATTCTTGTTGCTGTTGGCTCTGAGCCCAGCTGTCTTGGGCTACGGTGTGCCCAGAAAGCCAGTGGTTGAGCAAAAGCATGAACCCGTGATCTTCCCCACTGAACCTTTGACACAGGAGCCCAAGGTAAGTCTAGATTTTATATTATCTCTTAGGTATCTGATTTTCAAGTCATCAAAAGTAGTGAAGTTATTTTTTTTAAAGACAAAGTTAATCCAACTATATGTATCAGTCTTGTGTATTACAGTAGATAGGAAATTAAAGAAGCCGCTTTATGATATTATTTGAAGCAACTCGGAAAATACTACAAAGGTGAACATTGTAATACTGTACTCCCCTTATGCCTCGGTGACGCGGTGAAAATATAATGTGTGGTGTGTTGCAGGGCTGCCCCACCAACATCATCGAGAAGCTGGTGATCACAACTGAAGTGGTGCCTTCCTACGTCACCGTTACCAAGGATAACTACGTAACCACCACCCTGCACAACACCGTGTACGAGACCCTCACCTCCACTGTGATCAACGACATCATCGAGACCGTGTACAACACCGAGACCATTACCAACTTCGAGACCAACTTTGTGACTGAGACAGAACACCTCACCGATACCGTCATCTCCACCCTGACCGAGCACAGCACAATCGTCACCACTGTGGTCAGCGACAACTTCATCACCGAGACCGCATTCAAGACCGAGATCACGACCAACTATCAAACCGAGTACTTGACTGAAACACAGTACCAGACCGAGACCATCTCCACCACCATAGTTGACGTAAGTTTTTCATTTACTTTGTTAATAAGAGATATATTTAATTACTCTCCAAGATAAACCAGAGATACACTGAAGCCTCACACACACTGAACACTTCACAACACTTCCATCTAAAACAGTCGCCAGGTCAGTGATTAATTTGTCTAGTCTTGTCATTCTTTTGCCTTGACCTGACACAAAAAGTAAAACAGAGGTTAAAGTTGGCATAAAGCATTGATCTCATTTGCTATGGCTTCCAACCTCCTCGCGCGTTGAAATCTCCATACATACATACATACATACATACATACATACATACATACATACATACATACGCACGCACGCACACATACATAAATACGCACGTACATAAATACGCACGCACGCACACAAACATACGCATACATACATACATACGCACGCACGCACGCACACATACATACATACACACACACACACACACACACACACACACACACACACAAATCTTACAATACTAATAAAAAGGTGACTCTGGAAAGTAATGATTCGCCTTAATTAGCATTAAAGTAGTATACGAGTAATTAGTAAGACTCATAGGCAGTATTACTGTTTGTGCCGAGGTGAAGTAATTATTTACATCACCCTTATTTTTTTGTCCTTTCTTTCCGGTTTCCAATATTGATGTCTTCCAGTGTTGTATTTAAAATCAATTACTTTTCTTTTTTATAACTTATAAATGGTTTATAATATATCATGTACATATTTAAAAGGCTTAATGTATAAACAACCATCATGAGATTTAATTATTGAAGAAGTTAATTGAGTTTTATGGAAGGAAAAAAAAATCGAAAAACTTAGGTAGACAATTTCCATTACAGCTGCAGACTACCTCCCTCTACATCACCAACGTCGAGAGTGTGACAAATACCGTAACCGAGTCTGTACCTCACTACGTCACCACCACTTCCCAGGTGGAGAAGCTTGTTACCATCACCAAGGAATGCTACACCCCATCCCCCATCAAGTCAGGTGAGCGAGTAGACATTCATGTTTTATGGCTGAATTATTATACTATATATGGGAAAATACAGCCACTAGGTACATGTCTCACTTGTCTATATATATATATAACCTTACATTTTATATCTCATATCTAATTTAATACTTCAATAAGAGACATATTTCACACGCAAAATTTATCTAAACCTCATCAAATAAGACGAATAAAAGAGATAAACAATTAGAATGTCCTCATAGATAGTACAGATAACAGCAGTGTTAACAGATTATCCACGTTATACGGATAATAAATCAGGACAGAACCGTAATGAAAACGATACACAGATAATTACAGTAATCTCTTGTTATATCATATGATTCACTGTCTAGAAATATACTCCAACTTTTATTTTAACCCATTGAAGACAGCGTGTAGTCTTTTAACAAGGAATTAAGTCCAATTTTCTTTTGTTATCTACAGGTTACGGGCGTTAAGTCCCTCAACAGACGGTGGTGCAGTGCATTTGATGTCCTCAGTAGATGTTGATGGGAGCTTCAGCCATAACGGGGACTTTCAGCACTGACTACTACTACTACTACTACTACTACTACTACTTTAGATGTTTATGCGTGGACTTATAACTTGTGCAATACTCTGTGATTTCCACTATGGCATTATTTCCTTCGGGCATAGTATCTTATGTTCTTAGTATTTGTCTGTGATGAAAATGTTATTATTTGTTGTTGTATAATGATATTTAATTCAATTGAGTTTCTAAAAGACTGTGATGATGTTACTTACGTTTGATTTACAATGTCAATAAAATAATTTGTTTATCTATGTGTCTTACTTACACTTAAGATTAATTTCTTAACATTGATTTGATACATTGTTTATTTCAAGCAAGTACTGTAATTTCTTCAGACAAAAAACCATGAAACCTTAGGAACACACACACATAGACAGAGACACACACAGACACACGCACACAGAGACACACACACACACAGTTGAAGAGGAAGATGGAGTTACAGATATGACCACATTAAGCTGCATCTATTATATTGAAACCAAACAACATTGTTATAGATTTGATGTTTCCGATAATAATTTTTTATGCCTTAAAGCTTATTTATCATTATATATCAGAATTTGTAATAAACACAAGTAAATCAATGTAAACTATGAATATCTCTGGCTGTCGAGTTCGAACCGAGGCGATCATGTTTGTTAACCAGGCAACTAGTCAATGGTGTGCTTAGTGGACTAGATGCCAGACTACAAAACGTGGTGGCCTCGGTTCGAACCCTGCAGCCACAGATACAAATTCTTTATATATGTTCCTTTACTTATTTTTAAATTTACCTATTTATTCATGTATTTATTTACCCATTATAATAATAATTAGAAAACAATAATTCGTATACAATAAGAAGAATGAAATCTCTGTAAAAAGAACCTTAAGATTTTCAATTAACGGAATCATTATTGAAAGGAAGAAACATTGTAATTTATTAAAAAAATGGTATAGGTGTAGCCTTGTCGGGTCAATTGTTCAGTTAGGAGGGAGGTAAAGAATCAGCTCTCTAAGACACCCGATGTTACTGAGGGTTAATCTGGATGAAGACGTCAGGCATTTACGTCCAGGTAAATGATGACTTTCCTTTTGCGTCCCACAATTGATGTCACAATGAGGAGTTCAATGGATTTTAATAAATGTCTTCAGGTGATTGTTACTTTATGTGATTTCTTAGCTTGTCCATTGCTTATCTTCGTTGTTTTTACCTAATTCCGAAAGTATTGTGAGCAGTAATGAACCTAAAATATAGTTAGTTTATTACAATATTGAGTAAGTTTTTGTTTGGGGGAGGGGAGTTTTATATGATAAGGGACATTTAGGGTAGGAGGCAGTGAGTTGGGAGCAGATGTGTTTTTTATATATGTGACTTTGTTATATGAACTGGAATAATAAGATAAAACCATTGTAACCAAAGATGTTTAATCAGATGATTCCAGATCTTTAATAGGTCATAGTTCTACTCCCCACTATCGCCCCAAACCTAACTTAAACATTAGGATTGGGGCTCAATGTTAATAGGCCAGGTCTTAAAGGGATCTAGTCCTCATGGTGGGGCTACACTCATGCTAGTAGACCACAACCAACATGACACTGTGATATACTATAATTATGTCAATAAAAGTCATGTATCGTAAGAGGCTGGCGGGGAAAATACCCGCCAGCAACCAATAGTTCATTAATGTTTGATTGGGCAGTATATTGGCACCAAGTGATGACATTATTAACTTATAATATGCACAGTGTATATGAATATAGAAAAATGGAGATAAAGATAGAGGCGACGCCTAAGAGAGTAACAATTAAACTGAAGGTTTGAAATTAAGATCGAAAAACAAAGTTTCAAGAACGTTGGCAACTGGATTATTTGTTCTTTGAACACAACGGTACACACTAGTGTTCAGTGCGTCATCACGTGTTGCTCGAAACCCAAGAGTTTAACCTTCTGAGTCACTCACACTTTGTACAAGGAACGATATATAATTACACTGGAGAGTCAGTAATGGTTGTGAAGGGACGACTAACAGTAAAACATGAGACACGACTTTTGAAACAGTAAAAAAGGGAAAGGCAAGTGTTACGATTCCATACACAATTGTGTTGCAAATGGCGAAAGCAAATAAACCATTTACTGATGTGAAGACTTGTACGCTTGATATGGTGAAGGCATAAGGTGATGAAAAAATTACGAAGTGTCTTGAAAAATTTGTTCTCTCACCTGAGAGTGTCCAGCAAGGGCGTATCTGTGTGTGTGTGTGGGGGGGGACCTAACCCCCCCCCCCCGAAATTTTAGCATTATATCTAATCAATCACGAACTCACAGCTGTGTTGTGAAGAGTTACTGTACAAATATATTAACTTTGATGTATAAATTGTATAAACACTCATTATATACCTGTACATTTTATATACCTGTTATGTATGAATGTAGCGGACCTATTAACCGAACTACTACAACTGCCGGGTGTGGCTTGTTAGGCAGTTGTCTTCGAGGTGTTTGTCAGCTGGTGAAGGTCTGTGATTGGTTGATACATAGATGAGGGACGGAAGAAGTTATTGTTATGGGAGGTGACTCACTCATCTTCTGATCGTCCATTGGTAAACTCACTCGTCTTCTGATCGTCCATTGGTAAACTCACTCGTCTTCTGATCGTCCATTGGTAAACTCACTCGTCTTCTGATCGTCCATTGGTGAATTCACTCGTCTTCTGATCATCCACCAGGTGGGTGATGAGGTGCATAGCGAGGATACGAACTGATGTTAGGAGGGTACTGCCGAGTGTTAACTTGATATAGGGAAAATATATTTAGAATTGTTCTAAGGCGAAGTACCCTAACATAGTGACAGGATGTGACAGGATAGGGTCTTGTATAAAGATTTACTTCCATCATCTGAGGTATTATCTGATGAGTTTTCTGTGTGGAAAGAAAGATGGAAAATTATGCTTAAAAAGTTATAGATACCTAGCAAAAATATAAAGATTTTTTCTCAAATATCAAAGTTCTGATTAATATTTTTGTGACTTCACCTGCTACGAAAGCAAGAGTAGAGAGCTTTAGTGGAGGGATTAATCGGACTGAGCCTTAGGTCGGTCCACGGGGAACTAGATATTGACACTCAAAATGTTATTTAAAATTTCCTAAAATATCGCCCGAGATTGGAAAATTTGTGTCCGATAACTTCATTAATTTATTTTCGCTCATTTATGTATTGAATGATGAATTTAAGTTCTAATTTTCTTTTGTTAATTAGATTTTGTGTGGTTAATAATTATATCGGTTACCCAAGGGTCTTTGTAACATGATCATTAGAAAAATAAACAGAAAAGTAGTTTACGTGATAAGTTATAAGCCACTGGGATGAATATGTCGTAATATCCATTGAATATCGCCTCAAAAAGTCCCGACAACCGCCCCCTTTGAACCCCCACTCTACATAATTCCTTAATACGTCTTTGGTGGCCGAAGAGTAAACTGTCAGACCACAAAGAAATGGACAAATATTTTCGATGCATATCAGAATAGTAGCAGTGAATACAGAGGTTGTGACAGGTCGAATTTTCCGACCAGCTGAAAAAGTCCGGTGTAAAGTGTCCACTGATTCATTGTGTCTCATCACGAATCATTGTGTGGCAACTCGGTGAAGCAGCTTATGGGGTGGTCGTAAAGGTTACAAGTCTTTGTTATAGGAAATTTCGATAGTTTTTTTATAATAACGATGAAGGTCGTTTACTGACGTTAAGTGCGGCTAAGATTATGATATAAGATTATTACTAAAAGAGAATATGACAGCAGTTATCATCATATGCTTTAAAATCCTTCCTCTCGGAGTAAATATCCGGCATCCTGTTTTTGTTCTTTTAATTCCTGAGTTTCTGTCTAAGTTATTCTTTTTATATACATTACTACCTACATGAATTTGCTAAAGTCAAGGCTACAGACATTATCAGACATCTTGGAATATATATATGAGTTTGGCAACAAACATCAATTGTAAAGTTACTCTTGAAACCGGCGGTAAGGTTTGGGCCGCCACACACATTCACCTACAGTCTCATGTGCAGGGCCGGATTCAGGTGTGGGCAAAGTGGGCAGCTGCCCAGGGGCCTCCACAATCTGGGGGCTTCCACATATTACAATATTTTATGTGTTTATTCATTTGGATTATTTTTATTTTCATTCTTTGAAATTCATGTTTATCTATTCCATCATGGCTTCAAAATTCTCCAAAGAAGTGTTCAAATTTCAAAATTTTCCCGGGGGGGGGGGGCTTACAGCGCCCCCCGGAACTCACAGATGTTTAGGCTCGCTTCACTCGCCACCCCACCCTCTTGGGTAGTTATAATGAGGGGGGCCTCCACAAAGAGGCTGCCCATGGGCCTCCACAGGTCTAAATCCGGCACTGCTCATGTGGTACGACCAGTTTATTTTTGTAGGTCTCTCTATTCCACAAGACTCACTCTGTATTGCATAGTTACCACCGTACCTGTTATGTTATCATTACTTTATAAAAAAAAGAATAGCAATGCCAAGACAATATCAACATTATGCATCATTTCGAACCCCTCGTACAAGCCTTGTGGCATCGATCTTAACTGAATCCTTCCCAAATGAATCCCAATCATTTTCATTAAATTAGATTACGGAAGATTGGGTTCATTAGGACTAGGGACCATTTAAAATGCAACATTCATTTTATATTATAGTGACCCCCAAAAAATGATGTTGTTTTCTTCCAAACTGTATAGATAGAAAACGTTCCAATAATCTTTTAGGGACACTATTCTACGTATCACAGTGAGTTTTCTACAGGCCAATGAATAAGGTAATCTGAATCAGTTTAGGTTTGCGGCTTGCCTGCTACACCATGGATAAGAAATATGATATTATTAGTATTTTTGTGATAAGAGGTGGTTACTAGCTTACATTTAAAGAGTTGTAGGGGGTAGGTAAACGAAAAGACGGAAAGGGGCGAGGAATGAAAGTTAAGTTTTACAGAGTTGCATATTATTGATGGACCTGAAAGACCTTATTTGTTGAAGTGCAAGGAAACTATTCGATAAAGGCCAACCACTTAAATCTATATTGATTTGTATATAGGGATGAAGAGCAAAAAATAAGAATACTTCATAGCGTTTTTGTGGGAAATTTATACATTTCGAGTTATTTTGATTTTCGATTTCACTTAAAAAAATACAGTTTTGATTCCACAAAGTGTGCAGGTCTTTGACGAAGAGGGAAGTTGTAGAATAAAAACAC